AACGACGTGTCAAAAATCCATGTAAAAATAGTAAAGTTCTATCGGTAAGAACCTTGCTACATGTACACTATGGTGAACACTTTAGTTTACATTTTGCCATGTGACATTGCCCTGCTGGACGGTTTAAATTTCAAATAGTTTGCCCATCCAATTGACACTTAACAACAATGCAAGTGTCAAACAACGTGTCAAAAATAAGTGTACATATAGCAAAGTTCAATCGTAAAAACCTTGCCACATGTAAAATATGGTGTACACACTTTAGTTTACACTTTTTCATGTGACATTAACCTATTCAACAGTTTAAATTTCAAGCAGTTTTCCCATCCAATTAACCCTTGACAACAATGCAAGTGTCAAATAATGTGTCAAAAATCGGTGTACAAATAGCAAAGTTCAATCGGTAAGAACCTTACCACAACTACACTATGGTGTGCACACTTTAGTTTACACTTTGCCACGTGACAATACCCTGTTGGATAGTTTAAATTTCAAACAGTTTTCACATCCAAATGACACTTGACAACAATGCAAGTGTCAAACAACGTGTCCAAAATCATTGTAAAAATACGAAAGTTCAATTAGTAAGAAACTTGTTACATATACACTATAGCGTACACTTTAGTTTACACTTTGCAACGTGACATTACCCTGTTGGACAATTTAAATTTGAAATAGTTTTCCCAACAAATTGACACTTGACAACAATGCAACTGTCAAACAATGTGTCAAAAATCAGTGTACAAATAACAAAGTTCAATCGGTAAGGACCTTACTACATGTACACTATGGTGTGCACTTTAGTTTACGCTTTGCCACGTGACATTATCCTATTAGACAGTTTAAATTTCAAACAGTTTTCCCATCTAATTGACACTTGACAACAATGCAAGTTTCAAACAACGTGTCCAAAATTAGTGTACAAATAGCAAAGTTCAACAGCTATGAACCTTACTGCATGTACACTTTAGTTTACACTTTACCATGTGACATTACTCTATTGGGCGGGTTAAATTTCACACTGTCTTCCCATCCAATTGACACTTGACAACAGTGAAAGTGTCAACCAACGTGTCAAAAATTAGTGTTCAAATAGCAAAGTTCAATCGCTAAGAAACTTGCTACATGGACACTATAGTGTGCACTATATTTTACACTTTGCCACATGATATTACCCTATTGGACAGTTTAAATTTCAAATAGTTTTCCCATCCAATTAACAGTTGACAACAATGTAAGTGTCGAACAACACGTCCAAAATCAGTGGACAAATAGTAAATTTCAATCGGTAAGAACCTTGCTACATGTACACTATGGTGTAAACATTAGTTTACAATTTGCCACGTGATACTACCCTGTTGGATAGTTTAAATTTCAAATGGTTTTTCCATCCAATTGACACTTGACAACAATGCAAATGCCAAACACCGTGTCAAAAATTAGTGTACAAACAGTAAAGTTCACTTTATTACTTGTTACAAACCATACACTTGCGGTAGTTTTAAATCGAAAGAATTATTTCATAAACAAGTTTTTGGCGCCGTTGCCGAGGATTGAGTATTCATTTAATTTTATTCAATTTAGCACTAATTCGAACTTTTTATTTTTTATTTATTTTAGTTCATTTTATTTTATTGTTAGTTAGTTTTATTACATAAGTGCATATTTTAGTTACTTAAATCCTTAAATTGAATTCTATTTCAGAGGTGCATGCCAAGATCTGCTGAAGGAAATCTGCTCCCAGCCGACCCTGAGATCGAATGAAGCTTCAGAAGAAGGCAGAGAGAAAATAGAGCAGCGATAAATCAGATGGAGAACGTACAACACAATCCTGTTGTACAAGCCAATGAAAGAGGGGAAGAAGACGAAGGAAACATGCTCGTTGGAGAGTTCATGACCCCTCAAATCATTCAAAGCCAGTCCAGCATTGTGTATCCACCGTTCGGGCAGCCAAATTTCCAGTTGAAGATAAATGTGATTTATGGAAGAGTTGAAGAGAACCCGCACACGCATGTCTCGTGCTTTTTAGAGATGTGCCAGCACTTCAGATATCAAGGAATCTCTGACGACGCCATAAGACTAAGACTATTTCCACATACTTTGCGGGACAAGGTGATTGAATAGCTTGATTCTCAGCCGATAGCCAGCATTACTACCTGGAAGGACCTAGCTCAGAAGTTCTGTACTAAGTTCTTCCCACCGGCCAAGATTGCAAAGCTAAAGCACGACATATCTGTCTTCAGGCAAGGTGAATCTGAAAATTTTGATGAGGCTTGGAATAGATTCAAGAATCTACTAAGGAAGTGTCCGCACCACGGGATTAGCAAGGGACTTCAGGTCTAATATTTTTATGCAGGGCTACTTCCAGCTTTCAAGAGCATGGTCGACTCTTCAGCTAATGGGTCATTGTCCACAAAAATAATTGATGAAGCATTGAAGTTATATGAGACAATGGCTACAACCTCAGCAATGTGGACCATGGGACGAGCAGTACCAAAGAAGACACCAGGAGTTTATGAAGTGGATGTATATTCAGCGTTATCTGCCAAGATTGACTCCTTATTTCACAAGGTGGAAAATATTACCCAGTCAGCTAATGCAGCGCAGGCAAAGAAGGCAAATTGTGAGGAATGTGGAGCTGAGTATGTGATAGCAGAATGCCCAATTTTGACACAAGGAAAAGAGCAAGCAGATTTTGCTCAATGGGGACAACGCCAGCAGAATAATGTGTATGGAGAGACCTTCAACCCAAGCTGGAAAAAGCACCCCAACTTTTCTTGGAGCACCCAAAATCAGAACAGGCCACAAGGGCAATACCAACAGCAAGAGAAGAAGCCTCAATTGGAAGAAATGTTCGGCAAATTCATGGAACAGACCAGCCAATATATGGAGGTGAACAACCAATTCATGAAGAAGACAGAAGCCACTCTTCAGGACCAGAATGCAGCCATTAAGAATTTGGAAACTCAGATGGGATAGATGGCAGTTGCATTAACAGGTAAAGCACCAGGCAGCCTGCCAAGTAACACAAAAGTCAATTCGAAAGAGCATGCAAAGGCTATAACAACGAGAAGTGGGGTGGAATTGCCTGAGAGGCAAGTGAATAATCCTGTGGCAAACAGAGAAGAGGTGTCTCCTGAAGTAGAACAAAATTTGGAGCAAGAGGAACAGACAGAAGAGCCAACACCGAGAGCAAATAAAGGAAACTCAAGGGATAAAGAAATTGTAGCTGTGAACCCCTACGAGCCAACCATACTGTTCCTACAGAGGCTGAAGAAGTAAAAGATGGAACATCAATACAAGAAGTTTCTCGAGGTCTTCAAGAAGCTTCATATCAACATCCCATTTGCTAAAGCACTGGTTCAGATGCCTAGCTATGCAAAATTCCTAAAAGACATCCTATCAAACAAAAGGAAGCTAGGAGATCATGAGACAGTTATGCTAACAGAGGAGTGCAGTGCCAGGATTCAGAGAAAGCTCCCGCAAAAATTGAAAGATCCAGGGAGTTTTACTGTCCCTTGTACCATTGGTAAATTTTATTTTGATAAAGCTTTATGTGATCTTGGTGCAAGTTTTAACTTAATGCCATTGTCTGTTTTCAAGAAATTAGGATTGGGAGAAGCTAAAGCTACCACGGTGACCTTACAGCTGGCTGACAGATCATTAACACATCCACGAGGAATAATTGAAGACGTGTTGGTTAAAGTGGAGAAGTTCATATTTCCAGCAGACTTTCTGATTTTGGATATGGAAGAAGATAAAGATGTTCCTTTAATACTAGGCAAACCATTCTTAGCCACAGGCAGAGCTTTGATCGACGTTCAAAATGGGCAAGTTGATAGATTGGGAGAAGAACAGGTTTCATTCAATGTCTTCAAGGCCATGAAACTGCCAATAGAGACTGATAGATGTTTCAGGGTTGACATGATTGATAAAATGATTGAAGAGTCATTTACACTGCAAAACCCATCAGATGCATTGGAGGCCTGCATTGCATATCTAAATCCACGAATTCTGATTCTGAAGACATAGAAATGTGTGCAAGGTTTTTGGAGTCCAACCCACCTTACACGTAGAAACGATACTTTGAGGAGCTTGGGACAGGGCCAGAGAAATCACAGCCATCTATTCTGAAGCCACCAAAGTTGGAACTTAAGCAGCTGACCCCATACTTAAGATATGCATATTTGGGGGAGTCCTATACACTTCCAGTTATAATTTCAAACATGGTTAGTGAAGTGGAGGAGGAAAAACTTCTTAGGGTGCTTCGAGATAACAAGCAAGCAATTGGGTGGACCATAGCTGATATCAAAGGGATCAGCCCTTCCTTATGTATGCATAAAATTCTCATGGAGGAGAATTTTCGACCAACAGTGGAAAGTCAAAGAAGGCTAAACCCAAACATGAAGGAGGTAGTAAGAGCTGAGGTGATCAAACTTCTGGATGCTGGAATAATCTACCCGATATCAGATAGTAAATGGATTAGTCCAGTGCAAGTTGTACCCAAGAAAGGAGGAATTACAGTGGTTCAAGATGAAAAGAACCAGTTGATTCCGACAAGGACAGTAACAGGGTGGAGAGTTTGCATTGATTACCGCAAACTAAACACCGCTACAAGGAAGGATCATTTACCTCTTCTGTTTATAGATCAGATGTTGGAGAGATTGGCAGGTCATTCCCACTACTGCTTTCTGGATGGGTATTCGGGTTATAATAAGATAACAGTGGCACCGGATGATCAGGAGAAGACCACCTTCACATGCCCCTATGGCACCTTTGCATACCGAAGAATGCCATTTGGACTTTGCAACGCTCCTGCCACATTTCAGCGATGCATGATGGCAATTTTCTCAGATATGGTAGAGAAATTCATTGAAATCTTTATGGATAACTTCTCGATCTTTGGGACCTCATTTGATAAGTGTTTGGATCACTTGAATTTGGTTTTGCAAAGATGCAGAGAAACGAAATTAGTATTGAACTAGGAGAAATGTCATTTCATGGTTCAAGAGGGAATAGTCTTGGGACATAGAGTATCGGTAAAGGGGATAGAGGTGGATAAGTCGAAAATTCAGGTTATTGAGAAATTACCACCACCTACATCAGTAAAAGGAGTTCGAAGTTTCCTTGGGCATGCAGAGTTTTACAGGAGGTTTATAAAGGACTTCTCCAAAATCAATGTTTGATAGCGTTCAATACTTTGAAGGAAAAACTCACAACAGTGCCTGTGATTGTGTCACCTGATTGGGATTTGCCCTTTGAGCTATTGTGTGATGCGAGTGATCATGCAGTTGGTGTAGTAATGGGACAAAGAAAGAATAAAATCTTTCATGTGATATACTATGCAAGTAGAACTTTGAACGATGCCCAAATCAACTATGCGACGACCGAGAAGGAATTGCTAGCTGTGGTTTATGCTTTTGACAAGTTCAGATCGTATCTTGTTGGGTCTAAGGTTATCGTCTACACGGATCATACCGCTCTGAAGTATCTTATGACAAAGAAGGATGCTAAGCTGAGATTGATCCATTGGATATTGTTGTTGCAAGAGTTTGATATTAAGAGCAAGGATAAGAAGGGCAGTGAAAATGTGGTAGCCGACCACCTATCAAGATTGGAACGGGATGAACCTGAGATGTCAGTTGACATCAATGAAATCTTTCTAGATGAACAAATTTTTAGAGTAGAAATAGTCCCATGGTACGCTGATATCGTTAACTACCTTGCTAAGTCCATCCCACCACCAGACTATTCTAGCCATCAAAGAAAGAAGTTCTTCGCAGACTTGAAGTATTACTTTTGGGAGGATCCTATTCTCTACAGAAGAGGCACAGATCAGATAATCAGAAGATGTATTCCTGAAGATGAAGTACCAGAGATTCTAGAACATTGTTATTCTTCTGCATATGCTGGGCATTTTGGAGCTTCAAAGACTGTTGCAAAGATACTGCAGTCGGGTTTCTATTGGCCTACTTTATTCAGAGACACATTCGAGTATGTGAAGAGATGCGATAAATGTCAACCAAACGGAAATATCTCAAGAAGAAATGAGATGCCAGTAAATTTCATTTTGGAGGTTGAAATATTTGATGTATGGGAAATAGACTTCATGGGATCTTTTCCCCCGTCATACTCAAATCAATATATCTTGATGGCCGTTGACTACGTCTCTAAGTGGGTGGAAGCTGTTGCATTGCCTACTAACAATGCGAAAGTGGTGATAGAATTGTTGAAGAAGTACATATTTACAAGATATGGTACACCGAGGGCAATAATAAGTGATGTGGGCAAACACTTCATAAATCGTCAATTAGAGCAGCTGTTGAATAAATATGGGGTGAAACATAAGATAGCAACTCCATATCATCCACAAACCAATGGGCAAGTTGAAGTTTCGAATGGGCAGTTAAAGAGAATACTGGAAGTTACAGTGAACTCATCCTGAAAAGATTGGTCTAAGAAGCTTGATGATGCACTGTGGGCTTACAGAAGAGCATTTAAGACACCAATAGGAATGTCTCCATATCGCCTGGTTTTTGGGAAAGCGTATCATCTACCGTTGGAATTGGAGCATCGAGCATATTGGGCTATGAAACAATTGAATATGGATCTCAAAGCTGTTGGTGAAAAACGACTGCTGCAACTTAATGAATTGGATGAGATGAGAATGGAAGCTTATGAGAACTCAATGTTGATCAAGGAGCGCACCAAAAGATGGCATGATTTAAACATTTAGAGGCGAGAGTTTGAAGTTGGCCAAAAAGTATTATTATACAATTCTAGACTCAAACTCTTCCCAGGAAAGCTAAGAACAAGGTGGTTGGGTCCCTATACCATAACTAAGGTGATGCAATACGAGGTTATTGAAGTGAGTCACTAGACCAAAGGTACTTTCATCGTCAATGGGCAAAGATTGAAACACTATTGGGGTTGTAATTTCCCTAAGCAGAAGTCCACTGTGCAACTCAACAACCCAACATGAAGAAGATGCAGGAAAGTCGAGCTATCGACTATAAACTAGCGCTGGGTGGGAGGCAACTCACTGTATCCTTCAATTTATTTTATTGCATTTATTTTGGAATTTGTTTACATTTCGTATGATTTATTAGGTCGTCGATCATTCACGCATGATAGTCTAGGCACTACATGTTTATAGTTGCATGAGTTGGGATTAAAGAAAATGTTTTTGGTGTTTGAGTGTGAAGTAAAGAATTTCGGGGTTCAAAGTCATTCGTTTTATTTTTTTGAAAAAAAATAAAAAAATTTTGAAATATGTAGAGTCGAGTCAATTTTGAATTTGAAAACCAATGTAGGAATTTTTTTTTTTTAAAAATTCATGGTCTGTTGGGGGTTAAAGTTATAAGTTTGTTTTTTAAAAAAAATTTGGGTTTTGTCCATGCAGCCGCATGGTGTAACAGTGACGGGTTTTAAACCCGTCACTTCCTAAACCAACCCATTTCCCCCAATATCAATCAGCACACGAATTTCTCATCCCAAATTCCATCTTCACACATAACATAAATCACACCACACTTATCTAATCTCGACACCACACTACACTACTCACATCATTGGCATAAATTCTCAAGCATTTTGGAGTAAAGGTTCCATTTTCCTTTCACAAAGATCTAAAGGTACGAAATTTACTTTCTATGCAAAATATGAAGCTATTCTTTGATGTTATTGCCATTTTCGAATTGGGTAAAATGTTGAATTGTGAATTGTGGACTAGCCCTAAGTGTAAATCAAAAAAAAAGTAAAGGAAATTTCCAATGCACACAACGTGTTCGATTAAATGTCAAAGAGACATATGATTCTAAATTTTGAACTTTTCATTCGTGTGATGATTTACATTGTTAATGTGAGGCATACTAGTCGAGAAATCTCTAGGAATTTCACTGGAAAACGTTAGCCTCACATATATGTGCACAAAACCACATAAATTGCTAAGTCATGTCAACCCTCGTCACTAACTTCGTCCATGTGTTTTCCTTACCAAACAACCTCTGATTGTCGTGAAATTTGGATACATGCTAGGCCAAAATGAGTACTTTCATATGCCTGGACCTTGTTTGGGGAAATTTTAATATTTTTAGATGATGCTCGGGGCTGAAGTTGGTCACTTGATCATGGGTCGAATTTAAAAAAAAAATGCATGTTAGAGCCATAATTTTGAATTTTCTCATTAATGAAATATTGATGTTACATTAACTTCCATGCGTTGAATATTGCACATATTTTGAAGAAAGTTTTGGGGATTTGTGCTTGACATTGATATTCTTCATCGTTTCCTTATTTCACAAACTTGATACACTTCGTTCCTTATTTGTGCAGGATGCCGACGAAGAGAACATCAAAAGGTAAAGAAAAAGTTGGTTCCTCCTCCGGCACAGCCCACACCAGAGAGCTAGTAGGCGGTGTGCGAAGATTCCATGATGCCAAAATGTTAGCTTGGTATGAGAACATAATACGCCATTGGGGCATGACCAGAGAGACTGGTCCGATTAGATGATTTTCGTGGTTTTGAGTTGCCAAATCTGATACAAATTTGTGGATGGGAGAAGATTGTAGAAAAGCCACACCCGATTTATGAAAGTTTAGTCCATGAATTTTATGCAAACTTCAATAGTGAAATTGAGACTCCGGGTTCTGAACACTTACACCAGACATGGGTGCGAGGTAAGTGGATAATGTTCTCCCCAGCCATCATTCATGACTTCTACAATCTTAATTTGGACAATGTGGTCCCGATTCCAGCTCAATTCAACTGGAATGAAGTGGCAGAGGTTCTCTTGGGAAGAGAGAATGCTTGGCCCCTACCCACTGCAGAGTGGCATCAAATTGAGCTTACTCCCTCCATAGCCATCCTTTGGGTCTCCATGTGCCATAACATCGAACCCACATCGCATCGGACAACTTTCATGGATCAAACTACTGGGTTCATATATCATTTAGTCCGGGGATGCAAAGTTGATTTGGCTACTCTTATTTTTGACCAGATACACAATTTGGGAACCTGGGGAGATAGGAGGTCTTCGATGATTTTCCCTAGTCTGATTAGCGGGATATGTCTTGCTGTTGGTGTTACAGTTGAGGCAGGAGAGATGCCTGAGAAATCAAGCCCATTGATAAAGCTCACCACATTTGAAGCTCAGGAACGAGCTAGGGTAAGGAAGAGAGAACAAGAAAGACTTGAGCAGCAAAGATAAAATGCGCAGGAAGAAGAACAAGCTGCTGAAGATTTACACTTACCACAAGCCCCGCCACAACCAATTGAGATGGATTCGCAGCTACTTCGACAGATATTTGCCACAGCCACTGGAACTAGTAGAGACATACAAAACCTCCAGCAGAGGTTCGAGACAATGACCACCACTGTTGAAAAGGTGCAGAGAGACCTCTACTCCTCCCGAGACTACACAAGAGGTGCTTTGAATGAAGCCACAGCTGCGAGAAGGGAAGTAGAGATTATGAATGGTAGGTTGAACATGTACGCTGGGAGAATGGATGGTACATAGTGGCGTGTGAACGAGACTTGGGATCGCTTGGGAAATATGGAAAGTACTCTTCAAGCCATTCAGGCTGAGCAAGCACAGCAGTCCGAGTTGCTAACACAAGTCCTATCTCGCCTCCCACCTCCTCCTGAAGATGATGCTGCAGGTCCCAGCTTCACACCACAGCCACTGCATTGATCATGGGAGTTTTGTTAATCTCTTATTGCCAAGTTGTGTCCATGTTTTAAATTCTGCCATTTTAACTTTACATTTTACATTGAGGACAATGTATTGTATAAGTTTGGGGGATGGTAGCATAATTTCAAACAAATATTCGGCATGTAATTATTTTGCATATTTACAATCCATCGGTAAGTTTGAAAAGTTTTTGCATGATGCATGCTTGATGAGTGAATCTTTATGAACGTTTACATGCTTGTGTGGTTTGGTAGCCTTGCCAGATATGATGTGATTATTGGACATATATAAGCTAGAAACTATGGATTTAATGCATGATTTAATTTGCTAATACTTGTTGATGCATTGCTTAACACTCTTTTGCACGCCACTCATGTCACGTGTTAAGCTATTGATTGGAATTTTTAGAATAAATTAGGAGAAACCTAGAATAACCCTCTATAACATTAACCCATAATATCACTTTAAGGCAGTTTGGAGATGATTGAACCATTGTAGGAAAACATGGAGATAAGTGGGGGCTCCGTGCATGAAATTAAAATGTGTGGATTGTTTAAACCCGGAAGGTGAGAAATAGGTGAAAGCTTTAAGTGAGGATGGTTTTAGAAGTCAAATGTCTAGAAAAACAAAGAAGGGGCATAAAGTAAAAACTGGAAAATTATCACTTCTCTCAAAAAGCCTTTATGACTCAAGTAAGTAAGTCTGTAAGGGTTTAAAACCTGATGCCCTAATACCAACTGGTTTGGGAGTCATCGGCCTAAAGCTCGTTACATGGGTCATATAGAAAGCAAGAAAAAAGGAGAGTTGATAAAAAGTCATCTTATCGAGCCTTTATAACTCGAGTGAATAAGACTGCAAGGGTTTAAAACCCGGTGCCCTAAAGCCAACTGGTTTGGGAGTCATCGACTAAAGCTCGTTACATGGGTTATATAGAAAGCAAATGAGAAGATGACACAAAAAAATTAAAAAAAAAAATAAAAGCCCTCGTTGGACATTTGATTGGTAGAACTATAACCTCAATGCGAAGCAAGTAGCTTAGTTTAATCCTAAGGGTTGAAGCAATCAAAATAAGGAGAGTCTCTACTTGTTGATATGTGAACTTGTAATGGCAAACTCTATCCGAACTAAGAGAGGAGACGGATTAGAATTGTTTAAACTCCTAACCTTAGAATACACCCCGAAGAAACTGTGTGAAAAGAATACATTTGGGGATTGTGTATCTCTCGAGTGACGTAAGGATAAATTTGACCACTATGGGTTTGTGATAATCATAAGCTTGATATGTTGGCATGAGTTCACACACACACGTTGAGTATTGCATTTGATGAGTAAAGGTTGATTCAATTCTCGCACTCTTGATATTGTTTCTATTATTATTACTAAGTGCAATCCTGAGACACGGCAAGCTATTAATCCATGTTTGTTTAGCATTAAGTCACTACATTGTTTGAGGACAAACAATAGTTTAAGTTTGGGGGATTTGATAAGTGTGTTTTTACACACTTATTTAGCTCACAAACATGACTTAAACATGGACAAAGTAGTTGAATTGTGACTTAATCTTGTTAAATTCATGCAATGTAGGTGTTTCTATGGAAAAGATGGAATTCAGAAGAAAAGAGCCGAAAAAGGATCAAAACGGAACAAAGCGCTAGTTCGGGGACCAAAGGTGCAAATATTGGAAAGTTGAGCTAAAGTGCAGAATTAGAATGAAAATACACCAAGTATGAGATTAAGGACGATACAAGACGAT